TTTTAAAGCATTTAAAATTAATAATAAAAAAAATAAAGAAAATAAAAAAAAAAAAATGGTGTCCGGCCGGTCGGACCGGCCGTCGTGGCCGGACACCAAGTGGGTCGTACAACCGGTCGGTTAGTACAACGACCGGTCCGTACGGCCACAATTTTCGCACGGCCAGGGGCGTGTCCGGTCGAACCGGCCGGACGCCTTTGTGAATGTCCGGTCCGGTCGGCCGGACACCGCCGGTGCCGTGCGAAAATTGTGGCCGGACAATTTTTTTTTTTTTTTTTTACCTCTGAACTGCTGGACATCTTGCGAACACAAGAAATGAAAAGGGCAAAATCGTCCAAGGGGGGCGGTGACTAGTAATAAGGGGGCGGTAAATAGTAATGCCTTTTTTTTTCTTTTTTTTTTTTGTTTTGTTTTAAAATCTTATTTTATTATGCATGGTGCACATGCTTATTTTTTATTTTATTTTTTTGTTTTAAAATAATTATTTATTTAACTCTTTTACTTTTTTGTTGTTTATATTTTATTTATTGTTTATCTACATCACACTTTCCAATACAAATAAATTCAAATATTATTTAATATTACACTTCCCAACATGTAAAAATAATTTATATTTCCTATCCCTATTTTTGCCTATAAATACACTTCAGCTTGTCACTTCTCTTACACTAAAAAATTTATCACTTCTCTTACACTAGAAAATTTAGCAACTATTCACTTGCCTAAAAAAATAGATTCGAATGATATGAAAAATTTTCAACATTTTTCAAGTTCTAATCCTAGCAATCCAGATGAAATTCCATTATTCCAAAATTCACAAACTCCGCCGAATTTACCATTTTCACAAACTCCTTATCCTGCACAATTTTTCCCACAATTCCCGTCAAATTTTCCTTTTATGCAACAATAATCCCAAAATTATCCAAATTCCACCAATATTCAATATTCACAATATTCTCCACAAGTTTTATTTCAAAACCCGCCGCCTGAATATTGGCAATACATGAGTAGTCAAAATCCAGTGCAATCTTCTTCGCAACAATCGAGTCAATCTTCCAGATCCTAAATGAGGAAAGAACTCGATACTCAAACTTACGTTCCAGAAACACAATTCCAGGATCGTGAAGCAACTATTAATGTTGAAATCCCATAAAACACATGTGTTGCTGCTGAAGGCCGAAAAAACGTCCACAATGGACAAAGGAAGAGGATGTGCAATTGGCAAAAGCTTATGTGACAATAAGTGACAATCCAATTACCGGTAATGATCAGAAGGCCGAAGCGTTTTGGGTACATGTTGCAAATTATTATAACAAAAATACACCTTCTTATTATACTCACAGAAATGCTAATATAATAAGATCTCGCTGTCATAATACGATTCAAGAAAATGTGTATCGATTCAATGAGTGCTATTATCAACTTTTAAATACATTTACAATTCAATAACTAATTGTAAGAAGCAAATCAAAAGTCAGAGATATATTAGTCACTTAGTGTCTCACTATGTAAAATTACAAAGAATTAAAGGGTTATATTAGTACAAGTGATATTAAAATACCTAAGTTAGCTAAATAATATTTATGGAATGTCCGAACCTAGATTATTAATCATTAATATATCAATATTATTTATCCAAACTTAATTACGAAGTATGATTCTTCTCCAAGTAGGATAACGAAATACCAGAAGCAGCCACATACGCTCAGCATTCTGGAATTATATATAGGGGATACCCTCAACTCAATATCGTATAAATTATAAATATAGGGGCCGTTATAATACTAACAAATAGTAGACACCCCTACTTCAAAATTCCCACCCTTCACTCTATATATTATAACCCGCTCACACAAACCACATTCCTCATCTCAAAACCCTAGCCTAACAAACATCACCCCTCCGTCGCTGCTCTCCGCCGTCCGAAATGGGCCGCGTCCGCTCGAAGATCGTGAAAAAGTCCTCCTGGCTGGCTATCGAGCGGTACTATTAAAAAATGACGCTCGATTTCCAAAAGAACAAGAAGATCCTGGAGGAGGTAGCCATAATCACCTCGAAGCGCCTCCGCAACAAGATCGTCGTTCGACCCACCTGATGAAGCGCATATAGAAGGGCCCCGTGCGTGGGATCTCGCTCAAGCTGCAGGAGGAGGATCGCGAGCGCCGCATGGACTTTGTGTCCGAGGAGTCCGTCATAAGAGTCGACCGCATCGAGGTCGACCAGGCGACTATAGACCTGCTCGAGTCTCTCGAGATGAAGGACCTGCCCGACATCCTCCTAAAGGATGACAAGGGGCCGATCGTCGTCGCGCTGCCGATGGGGTACGATCGCGGTGGAGGCGGCGGAAGGCGTTACTTAGAGAGATGAGTGGCTGGTTTTATCTTTATATATATATATATATATATATATATATTTTCTTGAATTTGGTTTTTGTAGTACGCCGGATTTTAGAGCATGTTTGTTTATGAAAATTTTTGGGTTTGTTTAGATTTTTTGGTTTGGTTTTGTTAATTTTGAAAAAGTGGTATGGTTAGTTCTTAGTGAGTATATTAAAATAATATTTAAAATAAAATAATTAAAATTGGTTTGATGTAAAAGTAGGAAAGAGAAGATGTGATGTGATGGTTAGTTAAAATAATGTGAGTGGATGAATAGTGAATTAAGGTTTATGTGGTGTGTATGAATGATTGATTGATATTATTTAATTATATTGATAATATTGATGATAATGGGGTTGAGTTAAAAAAAGTAGTTGAGTTAAAATGTGAAATTTTTTTGAAAAATCTTATAAACAAACATGTTCAGTAGCTTTTGTTTTACACTATTCACCGTGTTTTGAGACAATCAATTATCTATTTTTGTTTTGGTTCTTATATAATCCGACTCGTTTTGTAGATTTATCTTGTTTTTTTTTTTATTATTGTTTAATTCTTGTATGAATCTCTAGATGGAAATGAAATAATTTGATGATATATTGCTATTGAAGGTAATTTATTCTCTTATGGGTGTGGGTTTAAGCTAGAGGTGATACTTCGGCTCGAGCCTTATCGAGCCAACTTGAGCTAGGCCGGTTATTACATGGAATTCTCGTTTCAAATTTTGAGTGTTTTTTCATGCCAAATTTCCTTATATCAGTTTCTGGAATAATCTTATGATCATAACATGACATAGACGAGCAAACTCTCAATTTTTTATGGAAATTTACACGAAAAAATTGTGCATCGTAACATATTATCGCACGGGATAAATAATCAATATGTCCCTTATTAGTGATCACTCACTTGAGTTAGCAAGACCGACCATGTTGAGCATGTGTCGGTCCTCCTTAAACCTCTCTAGAACAGTACCTTTCACAGCTTCGGGTCTCTCCTGGTGAGCTTTTCTCGGCACCACTCCCCAACATTCAATTATTTCTGGATATACTCGGGGCGTGGTCGACAGGCACGGGTTGGCAAAAGTCGTGCAGGCAAAAGTATGGCCCTGATCGAAGTTTGCCGAAATGAAGAGTCCGAAATGGTTCACTCGTCCTCCGAACCCTATGCCGTTCGGGATGCTCTCCGAACTGAAATTCACGGCACACTGGCGAAAAACACGAGAATGTTTTAGTGGGAATACACTTTTCGAAATTATCAAAAACGAAAAAGGGCAACAAAAAAACGTAAAACCCTGACATTCTAGACATAATTTTTTAAAGGTAATTTCCTCTTCAGTGGTTAAAATTCTCATGTAACCCCCTTGAAGGTTTACTCAATTTAAATTATGGTTTGCTCAATCAATTACCCATTGTAAATTATGATTTGCTCCTGTTGGGCGAAAAATCGATGCCTTAGGGTATAGCTGAAAGAGAAAAGATCTCATATCCCCATAAAAATCAGCATGCCTTTCCCATGCCTGAGAAGCATAGCCTCCATAAATGCAACCTTCTCTATCCTTGACAACTAACACGGTTGGTCCGTCTCTGCAGGATGAATTTGAACACAAATTTCAATTGCAGTTAAACAATAGAGGCACAAACTTAAAACCGGCGAGAAATACAATTTGTCAATGTAAAAACAAGCCAAGATTTGGGCTGACACAACACTGTTCTGAAAAAAAGTTACATGTCATTGATATCTTTCAGGATCCGAACTAATGTAAGCCAATATAACCATACCGAATCATAAGAAAGAGCAAGACATTAACAGGATTAAGTAAACAGCTGCTTACGGCATGTGACCGAGAAATGTGTTGAAACTCTGTCCGTGCAATGAACTGTGATACAAAAGCTTCCAGTCGTCCAGTTCAGTTGGAGATAGTGCTCCTCCAATATGCCAGGCGTATTCACTCCTCATCAAAATTTGATTAGGATCAATGTCCTGATAGAGTAACCTTGGTACTTGAGAACCTAAGAGAAGAAAACAAGGCAACTCGCTTCAATCCAAAACCAAGCAGGATTTTATATAACCATGAAACAAATAATGACTATACTATTAATGAAATTATTAGTGTTTACTGCAGCTCGTGCCTCGTAATTTGATACCCATTGAGTCGTCGTGAGACGAATAAATAATGATATGCAGTTTTTTACCCAATTACCTTCTTTTTTGATGACATGCTTGATAAGATAATAAACTAGTATGAGTCCTTGCAGTGCACGGGTAAGAGATATTCACTAATATTTATAAATTAAATATTCTTATTAAGTAATATTTATAAATTAAAAAAACGTAATCAATATGTAATACAATTGTCTATTCTAATTTATTTAAAATGTTATATAAAGTTTAAATTGTACAAAAGTACATAAAAATGTCTATTTAAAATTAGTACACGACCCGTGTGGTGCACATAACTGATAATAAATCACATTATATTTGTTTCAAAATAAGTATTATTTCAAAAAATTATTCAGAAATTCGATTTGACTATAATATGATTCCATAAAACAGTTATTTTCGTCATAAAATAATTATTTTAGTAAAATGTTATAACACATTTAACAACTTATGTGAATAATAAGTATAAATATAAAATTTATATCATTTAATTACTTAAAATGATCTATTTTTGTATAAACCTATTCAAATAAAAAAAATTAAGTAGTTGAGTAATATATTAAACTATAAATAATTGATTATTTCGCTTACTTCCAAGTTAATATTGACCCGTAAATTATTGAGTAATTTATTAAACTAAACATAATTGACTATTTCGTTTAGGGGTGAGCATAACCGAGCCGAAACCGAAAAACCGAGCCGAACCGATGATATCGGTGCGGTTCAGTTCGGTTTTTGGAGTACTTCGGTTTCGGTGCGGTTTGATTTCTAAAAAACCGCAGATATTGCGGTGCGGTTCGGTTTTGTTCCGAAGAGGGTCGGTTTTGACCGAACCGAACCGCACATGTATATATCAAATTAGTAAATATGATGATGTCATTTCAGTCGTTCTCTTCTCATTCCACAATCAATACGCCTTTATCCTTATCTCATAAACTGATACTTTTCTACCTTTCCCATTCCAAATTTCGATTTCATTTATTTTATTTCCACATATCAGTCTCTATTGATGTCTCTCTTGCTTTCGATTTTCTTATTGTATTTGATGTTGATATTTTCAATAAATACCCAACAATAATATCTCGTCTCGCCACCATTTGTGTCCCTCCGGTCGCAAACCAAGGTGAGGGAATGGATATAATAAACAAGGACAGGAAGAAGGCGAATTCGGCATAAACATCGATCGGCGGTGGCCGATTTGCTTCGAGCTGAGAGATCGACGACTTGCATCTCAGAATAAATTCAATTTTGTTATCAAAATTGAGATCTTGTGCATTCTGTGGTGTTTCCTTGCTTTTTGCTGAATGACTTGAATACCTGATTTATTCTTTTGGGTGTTTCTGATTCTCAGCTTATCCCTTCTCAATTCTTGCTATCTGCTGTCTCTCAACATTATTTCTTCCGGTTATCCGTAAAAAAAACCGCACCGAAACCGAAAATTTCGGTTCGGTTTTTTTCTTATATCGGTGCGGTTCGGTTTTTATATTTTTGCTCCTTCGGTTTTCGGTTTTTTGCAGTGCGGTGCGGTTTTGCACCGAACCGGACCGATGCTCACCCCTAATTTCGTTTACATCCAAGTTAATACTGACAACAAATTATGGATAATTATTTTTTATTTTTAATTTTAAATAAAAATATTTTTATTTTTTAATATATTATATACTAAATTTAAACCATGCAACCAATAAAAGTAATAGCTGCAAGTTTTGTCAATATGTTATATTCCAAATTAAAATCATGCAATTAATAAAGGTAATAGCTCCAATATTTGACCAAAATGATTATGTACGTTAATTAATTAATTTAGGAGGGATTTTTCAAATTTTGGCAAAAAATATTACTCAATATAATAAATACTTTAGGCGGGAAATCAAGTGTTTTTTTTTTTGCTGATTTTTAGTTGCTATTTCAAGTAAATATCATTGCCTAAAATAGATACACTAGTATGAGTCCCGTACAGTGCACGGGTAAGAGATATACACTAATATTTATAAATTAAAAATATAGAATCAATATTGAATACAATTAATTATTCTAATTTATTGAAAATGTTATATAAAGGTTAAATTTACAAAATTACATAAAAATGTCTATTTAAAATTAGTACCTGGTGGTGCCACCACATAACTGATCATAAATCACATTGTATTCGTCTCAAAATAAGTATTATTTCAAAAATTTTAATCAAAAATTCGATTTGACTATAATGTGATTCCATAAAATAGTTATTTTGGTAAAATATTATCATATATTTAATAACCTATGTGAATAATAGTATAAATATAATAGTAAATAATTAACTATTTCGTTTACGTCCAAGTTAATATTGACCCGTAAGTTATTGGATAATTTATTAAACTATAAATAATTGACTATTTCGTTTACGTCCAAATTAATATTGACTCGCAAATTATGAATAATTATCTTTTATTTTTAATTTTAAATAAAAACATTTTTATTTTTTTCAATATATTATATACCAAATTAAACAATCCAACTAATAAAGGTAATAACTGCAATTTTTGTCAATATATTATATTCCAAATTAAAATCATGCTCCTAATAAAGGTAATACTGCAATGTTTGACCAAAATAATTTTGTACATTAATTACATTAACTTAGGCGAGATTTTTCAATTTTTCAATTTTTGGCAAAAAAATGTTAAAAATATAGTAAATACTTTAGGCGAGAAATCAAATGTTTTTTTTTTCTTTTTTTTTGCTGATTTTTAGTTTCTATCTCAAGTAAATATCATTGTCTCTTTATATATTAAAATAAAGTGATCGTAATTTTCTGACCTTATGTACGAGATATCATTTTTCGTACTGAAATTCAACCAGACGATATCACTGGAAAAAGAAGGCAATAACCAAAAAACTTCCACAATAAGCCAAACAATACAAACCTGAATCCGCGGGCATCAACAAACTCCCTAAAAATTTCCTGACAGCTGGAAGAAGTGTACACCATTTTCGGAAATCTTCAAGAGACATGCCATTACTTGTAAAATTGGCAGCGTTGATGAAAACCTCAATAATTTCCTGATGAGATCTTGCCTTAGGCTCGGAACATTGTTGATGAAATAGATTATCAAGCATAGATGTTAATACGACTTCAAGATCAGACCTATCATAAGACAAATATGTATTCTTATATTTATGTTTAGCATCAAACTAGATGGATGAGAAGAACACAACATAAGAAATTCCACGTCTACCTTCCCACATTACCATCTCCTGATACATCTAATAGTCCGTAGATGAATTCTTCAATGTCCTCATTTGTTCCCTTCTCATAAGTTCCCTAGCATAAATTATATTCATGATTCAATAATTTCAACATGTCTACAAAACTTAATACAAATCACTGATAAATGGTGGTAAAAGAAACTTATATCAGCACGCTTTTACAGAATATCTTCAGGTGTGTTTGCTCTTTAAACATAATGCTCATATGACATCCATTTCTTCAAATAAGTTCTGTAGGTAGATTTGAAAAAATAATACTTGTCCCACGTCCCACATCAATTCAAAAGACATTTGCATCTAAGGTTGAATTTTTTTGTGATTTTCAAATTGAAACACCAGTAATACAAAATCCGCCTATTTTAGTCATTAATTCTACAATGTAGCCTTATGGGGTAGGTTATAATATAGAAAAAAGAACTATCTTATTTAGGTAACTTGTTAATTCGACAAGCCTCAAAAAATGCTTTGAAGTGTGTTTGGTAACTAGATAGGCTAGCTTATAAACTTCTCGTTTTCAAATAACCTTGGGTTAGTAGGATGGACTTTCTGAAAAATCTCGAGTTTATCTCATAAGGTTCTTTGTGTAGTGCCACATGAGGTTTATTGTTGTTTGATCTCACTCACTCACACACACACACACACACACTTGTGGGTATGTATTGATCCAACGATCATAAACCTTGTGTGGGAAGTAGGAAGGAATTTAACCACTGATAAAATAGCACCATTGCCTATGTTAGATTAAACAAGAACTGCATACTCAATCCAAGGAATGTTCACACATAAACCATAAGCTTGCAATGCCAACACAACAATAAGCACTCCATATTGCAAGAACTTCATACTTAAAATGCAAAAATCTACAAACCTCTCTATACGAAGCCTTAAAATTACCTTGGCAATAACAAGGTCTTCAAAGTTAAGCTTCTCATCTTTCCTCCTTTCTGTAACCAAATCAAAAACCCTATCGCCCAAGGGCCCGTCGATTCCAATATACTCCTGCATAATCAAGCACGCACGACCTTAAAAAATGGCGAGAAAAAAATGAAAAAACGCACCTAAAAAATGCAGAAAAACAGAAAGTTAGTTTCTAGAGATAGAAAGACCTTGAAGACGGGAAGAGAGACGTGCTCGCCATTGCTATGGGACTTGGCGGCTAGCGATGAGTGGAGCGATCTTAGGTCTTCCAGCTCCGACTGAGTGAATGCTCTGCAAAATTGATTTGAAATTCGAATCAACTGCGTAAAATGGAACCAATTCGCCGCCGTGAGCGGAGGGCGGAGGGACGGAAAAACCTGGCGGCGGATATGAATCGGGGATCGGAGGAAGATGACTCGGAGTTGCCCATCTTCGCTGCTCACCTCCTTTTTCTACGTCGGTTTCTGCTGTGTTATGATATTTGATCGGGCAAAAGCAAAAATGGAAATCACGCAATTTTTGCCACTGGGAGGAAATAATTAACCACGGCCAATTTACATATATCCCCTCTATATATACTAGTATAAATCATGTGCACATGCACATGTTACTAAATATAAATAAATATTTTATATAAAAATTATAATTAAAATAAAATTTTACTTAATAGTATGTATCATATTTATAATCAAATTAAATTAAAGACTCTTCGTTGATATTAATAATAGATCTCTACAAATGAAAAGACAAAATAAATTGATATGGTTATGAATTATTTTTATAAATTTATTTCCCAAGGAAAATTAAAAAACTATATTTTACTTCGCTTCAAATAATTAACTTAAAATATGTTCATAGTTAAATGTAAAATCAGAAGAAAGAATACATATAGTTACAATATTGTAATGTGTGTATAAAAAATATAATTTTACTTACCTAATTAACAAATAGTACAATTATATTAATTTTTATGACATGACAGTTACAATTTTATTAAATAATATAATATTAGTTATAAAAATACAAATAAAATGATAGGTGAAACATACTAAAAAAAACTTTACAAAATGAGCGGGAAAAATAGGTTATCCGCATTAGATGGATATCCTACAATTATATATATATTATATATATATATATCATCTAATAATTGTTTATGTGTAATTTGAAGTCCCGAATTTTAAATGAATTTACAATTGAAAGAATAGGTATTAAATATTATATTGTAATGGTTACATCATATTTATTATCATTACCAATATAACAATAACACATTAAATTTGTACCAAAAAAATAACACATTAAATTAGTTTTTAAAACATAACCGTTACATCTTTTATTGAATATTACAATATTTATTACAAAATTAAAGATATAAACAAAAAGTAAAAAGAAATTAAAACTTACCATATTGAGTGAAAATTTTGGGCGGGAAAATGTAGGTTATTGCATTAATGT